ATACAGCCTTCAGGCTTCGCTTAGAAGAATCCAGAAATAATCTCCATTCCTCAGATTTATAAACATCCTTCTTAAATTCGTTCATCAGATCCTTAACATTGTTGCAAAATACGAGATCATTCTCCGTAGAGAAATATTTTCTGAAGTCTTTTTCTCTATTCCGATAGTAAGAACATTTAGTACCTTTCGCCAGTAAATTTTTTTCCTTCAACCTCGAAGCAAGCAACTCTGCTCCCTCCTTTGATAAGCCTAACTCTCTAACTAGGTCATTAAGTTCTTTCTGATCAAATTCTCCTTTTATCTTTGTTTGTGATCCAGATGGCACATACTCGTCATTACTCTCGTCCGTTTCTTCTCTTTCACTCTCGGCCTCATCAGAACTAGAAATCTCTAATTCAGTAAGTGCAGAAGAAAGGTCACTTTCTACATCTGTATCTCTTTCTTCTGTTGGAGCTATAAACGGCTTGATTACACTAGACACACTCGCGTATACAATTTTGCGGACATTAGATGAGTTAAAACCTATAGTTTTTGTCATACAAAAATAACAATTCTCTACATTTTCTGGCTCACTCCAAACCATAGGTTTGACAAATTTTAATGGAGTTTTGTCCTTTTTGTACCGGCTAAACATCAGCCTACAGCTATTGCATATCAATTGTGGCAGCCAATCTTGCTCACCATCAGTGACTTTACAACCGAAACACTCATCGTATACTAGTTTCAAATCATCTGTGAATTTGCGAAGATCCGACTTTTTCAAAAAGTATTTGCCACACACATAGCAAAAGGAATTCACTTTTTGCTTACAACTATGAGAATTAGAGCGTATTCTTGTATTGTTGTACTCTACAGAGACCAAGTTTCCAACCACTGTAGAGCTGCAGTCGCATGATGACGACGATTGCGGACCTGCTTGCTCATCCTGACCAATCGCCGATACTGGGCATCCGAAACCCTGCATCGTACCTCTTCGTGTGCCAACCATGACGGCATCATGCCTTCACCCCAGGGTTTTGCCGGAAAACAAAAAGCCAAAAAAAAAGCCGTTTTCCGCCGTCACCACGTGGAGGTACCCTGGGTTGCGGCACACGATTATTTCGGGAGTGTGATCAAAAAAATAAGTAACGATCACAGCTAGATGTAAGATTTTCCATTTTCTCTGAATCTGTGGTCAAAATTTTCTTTTTTTAATGAAAAAATGTATATTTGACCTTGGGATGACCTTGATTTTGACCCTGAGGTATTAAGCGGTCTTTATATTTGGGTTCAGATGCTCAAAAAATATGTTAGAATGATAACTTGACTCGATTTCACTAATTGTCGAGGATTTGACCTTCAAACGACCTTCAATGCGGCCTGATGGAGACAAACGAACACCGCGGATTTGGATTCGGCGACCCTGAAAACATAACGACATGGTAGTTTGCCCCATGAAATTCCATTATCTTATTGTCATACGAATCCTCCATCCAACAAGATTAAGTGACCTTCACATGACCTTGAGGGTTATATTAAAAAAAATTGAATATGTATCTGGACGTAAAATTTCCCGCTCTTTCAGAATCTGCAGTCAAAAATTCATTTTTCCTAGAGTAAACAGCTTTGACCTTGAACTAACCTTCAAACTTACCTCATGGAGAAAAACAAATACCGGATTTAAACTCAGCGACCCCAAAAACTTAACAGACAGATGTCTTGTATTAGTTATTGCTGATTTCTGCAATGTGACCTTCAAATGCCCTTGAACCCGACGTGCTGAGGTTAAACGAATGCCAGATTCGGACTCAGCGCGCAAAAATACGTAGGAGTACATGGGTTTTGTCGATGGACATCCAAGTTCATTTTTTTTTGTGGGCCTGTGTTATTAATAATAATAATATCTCTTGTGACGTCGTGGCAACGGCACATCTGAGGTGCACCTGAGGCTTGGCGTAGTCTCAGGGTTCTGTTGTTGCTAGTCTGCGATTTCTCGCATAAACTAGCGGGATCACTATTCGAAAATTATTAACACCGAAGGGGACAGTGCCACTAAACCTGTGCTTCTGCTCTTGGATTCCAATCAATAGTTGTAATCCGAGAGCGGGAAGTACCCTGGGTCCTATCAATAGTAGAACCCGGTTTTCCTAATATAAATTGTATTTGGAGCTTATCAAAAGTAGTCTCCAAATACGACAAATGGAAAATTTTGGATTGCGAGCTACGCTAAAAGAGAGGAGAGATATATAAGTTAAAAAAAATTAAAATTTTGATTGCTTACTCTTGTTTATTGAGAACTTGACACTGTTAATTTGCGGGTCTTTATTCTGTATTGGTCGATCTTTTTTTTATTTTATCTGTTCTCTTACTTCGATGCTTGGCTGCTTGGCTCTTTCGTTCACTTCTTCCTGTCTAGACTCTTGGTTTACGGACTCCCGTACTTCATTCAATCTTTTCTTGATTTTCTTGCCTTCTTGGCTGCTTTACTTCTTGGTTGAATTATCCTTGTGCTTCCTTCAGCACTCACTCACTGGTACTCAATATCTGTTTTATACTCACACTACGATAAATGACAACTACGGGAACAACTGCAACTGCAAGTCCAACTACTTTTCTAGCACTTCTATAATAACTTGAACTTTCTCTAATAACCTTTAGGACTTGAACTTGCTCTCTGGGTCTTGTGCAGCCCTTTTTATATTAGGTGGGTGTTTGGATGATGAGTCCCTCTCTTAGCCTCTCGGTTTTGGGAGGAGTGGAGCAGGCAATGATGTGTTAATTGGTCCGTTTGTTTCTTCTGATTTTTCTCGTTGGATTTTCGGGCCCTGATTGGAGCGGGGGCGTGGAGAAAATCGAGAGCGCGGACGCAAGGGTACAGGCCTTAGCTCGTAAGATAGCTCTTCAAGTATCATTCGGAGCCAAGATTAATTAAAAATTTCGTAATTATTAATTAATTGAAGTTGGAACAACCATAATCGACCAATACATAACTTATACACTACTTATATTAACAATCAATATTATAATTAAATTCGCCGCAAAATACAGTTATCAATAATTATCTAATAATAAAATATAATAAAAATAGAGCGATGCTTGTTATCTCGCACGTCATGTTGTATAAATTCGTAGATTAATTTCTTATAATAAAAGTTCGCTAAATAACAGTGAATTCATTAAAATTAACATATGTTTTATTTTTTTCTATTTTCTGCTTAAACTAAGCTCTGGAGCGAAAACTCCATAAGAGGTTTTGAGAGGCCAAAATTAGTTTTGATATATTGTTGAAATAAAAATATTCAAGTTCAAAAAATATTATTTCATAATTTCTAATGCCTAATTTAATTGGAAAGGGAAAAATTCATTAATTATGATGTGAATAGGATGCAGATGCGATCCCATGGCCCTCTTCTCTCATCGGCATGATAACGCTTCACGATGTATACACGACGATCGTAGGCTCCTGTCAACACATTCGCGTGGAACAAAGCAGGATAGAGCGTCGATTGGAAGGCCGAGTACGCAGGCTCGGGCCACTGTCAAAGTTTATATAAACAATTTATTTCGAATCCGTTTTCATTGTGGGAAATTAGGAATGTTCCCACTCCGTTCGTCATATTTAATAATTAAATTAATATAAAAAAAACTAAGTTACGGCTGGCCGTCACACTCTTTTATTTCAGCGAACACACACACACATACTTTAAACAGCAAAAAATAATTCATCATATACTAATTATAATAAATATATATAATATTTATTATTAAATTTACTGAGACTATAACTTATATATTTAAAGAAGAAATTTGATTTATACTACTTTTTTCACATAAGAGTATACGTCTAATGATTTGAACTACTAAGCGATTAAAAAAGAGAGAAAATTTGTAAGGCCAACCACTCTATAAATGTAACATATCTCAGGTACACGGCTGAAAATTTATTTCACGTACATAAAGTGCTCCAATTATCAAACAAGGCTGGAATCGAAGTCTTAGACTATCGCAATGGCAAACGAATTTGAACTCATGATTGGAGATCTCTTTCACGCTTGATTGTTCGTTCAATACTATTTTCACGACTTCGCACAAATTTTTAACAAGATTTTGATGCGAAATTACGTAAACACAGTAAAAAGTTTGTGTTTTAAAAAATAAAAAATTATGATAGAAAAGGAAAAATTTATGATATAAATCGCCTAACTTAGAAAAACTTTAGTATATAGTTATAAACAAATAAAATTAAATAATTGAATAAAGGACAATCTACATTGAAATTATATAACATTTTTGTACCAAACCATAGTTTAAAATTATACTAAAATATTATTAGTGAAAATAATTTTACCAAAATTACGTTAAATTTATTTTAATTTTTTTCAGTGTAAGACGTCAATTTGAGCTTTCAACCTCAATTATAGAAACACTAGTGTAACGAATGAAGAAGGGAAAGATCCTAAATTTTCATATATTGAATACAGTGTCACGTACATTATGATTGAATCATGAATTTCACACTGCTTATTGTGGCTAATATATAAAAGATGAGTAAATGAACTTGTTCTATCGAATTCCTTACAGATTAAATAAAAAAAAAGTTCAATATATTATTGCCAAATATTAGAATAAAGTATTTATTTTCAAATTCCGTCAAATAAACTTTGTTAAATAATATGCTGATTTCCAATTGTACTATCATGTATTTTTTTTACTAAGAATTACACATCTGAATTACCTACTGGACCTATTGAAAATAATCGAAAGTTATTAATAATTTTACGTCATTTAATAATCATATTTTCAAAGTGGGATATATTTCGTATTGTACGAATTGAAAATAGAAATAACTATGAAAACCATGGAAATATAGGCAATTAGTTTTATATTATAAAAATAGGAGATAATTTTCCGTATGAAGTTTAGGGCAAACTTTGTGATCATGTTTGTCAGTATCCACGTCTGCGCAACTATAAGTAAAGTGCTGTCATGGCGTATTTTGATCTTGCGCAATGAACAAAAGACCAAGATCTGTAAGAACAGTTTACAGTAATGTTATCTGTGCTTTTTATTTTTAATAAATGACTTATATTCAGATCATAATTGAAAGACAATTTTCATGACGTTAAGAAATATTCGATGAAGATATTATTATTCTTACTTGCGTTCCTATTTTTTAGTAAGTATAAGTAATTTTATAGAATAGTATATGCTGATATAATGCATAATTATTTTCAAAATTATATTATTATTAGAATAATTCATAGTCTTATACGTTTTCAAATTACTTATCTATTGGTTTTAAAAGAAAGGAACGGAAGACTAACAGATCATTCTCCTTGTATAATTATTTAAGATGTAATAAAATGTAAAACAATTATTTATTTTTCATTCACTATCTACTCTTGTAACCGATAAAGCAGAAAGATATCTGTCAGGATTTTACAAATTAACATTAAATTTTTTGCGATATTTCAGTAAAACTTAAACAAGCCAAGCTATGTTGGATTAGTTTGAGTTATATTCATATTTATTTTTAAAATAAATTTTTTCATAACAAATGAAATAAGCTGCCGCTAAGTAAAATTTTCTTTAATAACATACGTAACACAAAGCAAACATATCGTAGGAGATAAGTTCTGAATAATTTGCCGTTAAGTAAAATTTGAGTTAATAAGATGTGTAATAAAAAGTGATTATATCGTATTTATGTTATAGATGTTATTTCTATACTACTGATTTTTAAATATTATATATTGGGTTATTGGGTTATTGCGATTAAGTTAATGAAATAAATAGTTGTATCTTTAGTATTTTATATCTTAATTCTAGTGTAGATAAATATTTAATAGTTTTGCAATATTTGAATGATCTATAAAACAATTTTTTCAGGACGAACAAATATTTTTAATTATATATATTTTTACATTACATGAAGCAACATAAAAATAGCTGTATTATTCAATGAAAACACAGATTTTGAATAGAGCTGATAAACATGATACCATCGATTTCAACGAAGATACAATTTTTTACTATTTCATTTGTATTCATTGCTAATACCTTCATCAATATTTCTTCAACTAATGAGTTTGATAAAGTTTTATTAAAAAAGGAGTTATATACTTTTAAAAAATTACATATAATAAATTCTTAGCTTCACCATCGAATATAAATTGAATTTTCAATTGAAAATTTTTATTCTTTCACAAATACGGATAAATATATGTCTATTTTTTTAGTTGGGCTTGTCCTTGACGACTGAAGTTTTTGAATCTATTTTGTATTTGACAATTTGTATTTAAAGGAAATTGGTCTCGGTAGAAGTAGATATAACGATAAAACACTTTTTGATGTTTAGTTAAATAATTCGTTAATCTCTTCAAAAATTTACTGATAAATAAAACGTTACCAATTGCTTTGACTGATTACTTACTTAAAGCTTTAGTCCGTTATAAAGAATTTTTATGAATCATTATATCAACTATATACATATTAGATTTTATTATATATTAAAACTTTATTACTTTTATTATTACTGAATACATTTTAGGATATGCTGAAATATTTTCAGATTTTTTTGATGACTTCGAAAATTTGAATTTTTCTGATTTTTTAAAAATTGGAGAATATTCTTTAACATTAGTAAAAAAATTAAAATTAAATTATTATTTATATTATTATTTAAATGTTATTAAGAAAAAAATTGATGAATTTAAGAAGGAAAATTTTTCTTTTCAGATGCCATTTTATTTAAATCAAAATATTTAAATATTTAAACATAATATCATGCCAGTAATGTTTAGTTAAAGTATTATGGATACTTTTCTATCGTTTTTACATACGTACAACAATAAAAAAGAAAAATAAATGTCAACAAAATTTTTTTCATAAAAATATCACTGTTTTTTGTTTTATTTTCTAATTTTCCAATACTCAAATTCATTTTTTGAATCTGCAACCATTCCCATTCGGAAGAACGTTTTCGAAATCATGAAAAAATGGTATAGAATTTTTTTTCAATCAAATTGTGTATACAATAACACATTGAAATTGTACAACGAAAAGTATCCTTTCAGGTAATAATGGGAGGTAAGTGTAAATTTTCCGGACGCATAATGTTAAATTTAACGATAATAATAAAAAGACATAGTAATATTATATTCCCAAATCAATCATTTAATATTATTTACTATTCAATTATCATAAAGAACTGTCACAATGAAATCATAATGGCTGTAGGTATTATCAAGATATTTGTATTGGCGTGTAAATATATATTTTTATCTTTTTCTACCTACAAAATTCGGATTCCGTATTAAGCATTTGCTTAATTAATTTGTCTTTAATTAAATTTCTTGATACAAAAAATACAAAGTTCATGGATTGGTCCATGTACATTTATATATGCCTAAAGAGGTAAACAAGTTACCTGTACATAAGTTGGATACATAAACACAATTTACAAACTACGGACATCGAAATATATTAGAATATATTGTGACGGTAAACGTCAAATTAGCGCTGACAATCTAACTTAATTGCTGCATCTGAGGGCAGCACCTGCCGGGGAGACGACAAACGTGACAAAGGAATTCGGCACGCGAGCAGACGGAACGCGCGCGATTGAATTCGAACCAGTGAAGCATTGGCCATCATTACGCTCGCTCGCCTTTGTTTCGCTAACGCCGATTTACGTGCCGTCGATACCGAAAGTCTACAAAAGCACGTGCCAGTGGTCCAGGGAAGTGCCAGGATAGTAACTGCCGTTGACGTGATGCCACACACCCGCAGAGAGAAGGAGCACGAGTCGCTGAAGGAGAGTGTGTGAGGTTTCGCCATCGAGGGCGAAACCGCGTGTGCGCGCATTCGTGACCTGCGATAAACAGACAAAAACAATTCCGCGCAGTGTGTGACTGTCGTTTTCTCCGTACGCTTGCAATAATAAGGTAAGCTGGCCAGCTTAATCTCGCGATCGCGGTTGCATAGTTAACAAATAAAGTATCGTTTCCGAAGCCTGCATGTAATAGCGCTATTGACTAAGCGCAGCGAGCGTCCCGACATTGCACGTTGTCGATGAGCGAGCGTCGATGTAAACAAACACGTGGGCCGACCTTATGTAGTATTTGAGTGATATTAAAAGGTTCTGTTCGTGTTACTAACAAGTGTTTTTCGACTCGCTTAATTCTTATTGCTTCCACTCACTTTTTCCTAGATTGGAGGACTTACTGGTTGACTGACGCACGTTTCCACATGCTCTCCGATTTATGTATTGAGCATAAATAATTACGCGCGTCCTTTTAGTATAATTGCGCGAATAAAATATAATTAAACGGTTTTACCCCGTTACATGGCGTCCAACGCAAAAGAACCTACAGTGTTTTTGATTGTTCAAAACACCGGTTCTCAATAGTAATCTCGCGCCCAGTCAACCAGCGACTTAGGTGGCAATCAAGTGTTGTTGTGCACACTTGATACCGAAGGCCACAATAGTAAACAGAGCCTGTTAGTTAACTTGCGAAGGCCCGCCGCGGCGAAAATTTGTAAATAATAGCTGTGAACGCGTGCGAGTGCGACCGAAAGATTCTTAAGCGTAAACACCAACGAATTTTGAAAGTTGCCGCAAATAATATTATTATACCCGTTGGCCCGGGGAAAACTAACACCGGCAATTTTCAAACGAAATTAATTCAATTGAGTAATTTTATTTGACATCGTGTTGTCTTAACGTAAATGTGTTTTTTTTAATATTATTAGCTGTGGTTATTGGTGATTACGCGCAACGCTCGTTACAATATTTTAGATACTAACCAACACAGCCGCGCTAACAAACAGTTAGCGCGTCTGATAGGCAGGATCATTATATTGCGTATTAACGAGCGAAGAATCTTTCGGCAAATAAATTATTAAACGCCCTTGGTCAAGCCTAAAGTCGGCTAATAAAATTTTGATTATTTATTTGAACACGGATTTTAATACAGCACTCGCACTCGTACAATATACCTGTAAATTTTACAAAGAAATTAGACGCAAGTAAACTAACAGAGAATTATGGACCGCACTCAGACAGAGATAGAAAATTGGGTGTTAACGCTCCAGGAGGAAGAAATCGATGAGTACCTCGAACACCTGGAGCTCAAAATAAGCGAGACTAAGCTCTCGAGAGCTGGTCGCCTGCATAACTGGTTGCTTGGTGACTACTCCGCAGCAGATTTCGCGGAACCCGACAACCAGAACAGCAACCCAGCAAAAGAGCCGCCCTACGCTCGGAACTGATCGTATCCCTATGTCAGGAACACACAACATCCGAGCAAGAGGGAGAACACCCGCTAGCCCAACTATTGCAAAGTGCGGACGTAATATCGCGAGTTCAGAAAACCGCGATAAACATCGCGAATGCCCTGGACAGCGGAGCAAACACAAATAGTAAGAAGGAAATTACTATAACGGATGACGATGGCAGCCAGTTCAAACTCCCGCCGGTATTCGCGGTGATGATTCAAGACCTTATTTTCCGGTCCAGAGAACATGAGAGGAAATGGGAGGTACAAGACTCACGAAATTCGAATGTGTCTAACCTAACCCAAATAGTAGAACAAATACTCAGGACCAATATCAAGGTGCAGGAACAAATGGACAACCTGTCAGCCAGGATGAACGCACTGGAAAATGCCATACACAGAGATATGCGGCAAGACGATGCGAACAGTTCCAACGAGGAGCCACAACCGGAAAACACGCGTAGGAGCGTCGCATTCCAGGACACATTCACATGCCACTACGACGCCAGGCTACCTCAGAGCACTCCAGCCGGACCCGGACAGAGGCCCACGGGGGCCGCCGGCTGGACCCCCCGCCGGACGCCCCCTTTCGGAGAGGGTGGACAGCATCAACTCGGTGGAGTTAATGCTGAAGTGGACAACCACCCGCCGAGCATGTGGTCATCCCAACAGAAGTCAAACCCGTGGTCGACAACAAGAGACGTCGGCCGCATCGTCCGGGGATGGAAACTCAGGTTCTCCGGAGAAGGCAACGCGAACATTGACACCTTCTTATCAAGGTTGGACAACTCGAGGAGCAGCGCTGGACTCACAGAAGACGAGATGCTCATAGCTGTATCCGAGCTACTCGTCGGTCCTGCCCTCGTCTGGTACGAGGCAATGCGAAACGAATGGTTCT